TTTCTTAACAATTATGTATTTCCCATCTACCTCAGAGAAGAGTTTATCTGAACTAGCAGCCCCAGCGAAGTTTCAGAAAGACCTGTGGAGCTGCTGCGTATCAGTTTTCCTTTCCTCGTCTCAGCATCAGATGATCTAGGTCACAGTGGCTGGGACGGTATCTTTAAAAAAGGCTCCAGCACTTCTTTCAGCCCTGTGAAGCAAGTTTTCTCCTCTCACACACCTTTTTAATAGCCAGTGTAGCTGCTCTACTGAGATAGTGTTTTCGCCAGAGCTCAGGTTCAAAATCTAGAATTCATATCAGAACAACTAATTTAACTTTTCAGTTAACTTGTACAGTGTCTGAAGAAACACTTAGTAATAACCTTTTTATATAAGGTGGCAAACTTGGGTCTAACTTCACTAAAAATATTACATAGTCTCAATATAATGCCATTTCTTTTGTTGAGGTGCTTTGTAGTTTTTTTTTATTATTATTATTCTGAATTAACCAAAAAAGTTTTGAAAGCAAAGAAAAAGCAAAATTAATTCCCACCTCATTTTTAAGCTCTTAAGCTTGGAAATAAAGGCTATACCATATTATAAATCAAGTGAGCCAATATACTAAAAAGTGCACTGTGGTGGCAGTGTGAGTTACAAGGTTTACTAGACACCAGATAAAGGAAAAAGTTATTATTTAATAAGGGTTTTTTTGCATCTCCAAGGGACACACTGAATGCTTGGAGGAAGCATAGAGAATTCAAACCTAAAGCTATCAAAGTCCTTTAGATACCAACTTTTAAAAATATATATATTTTAATTTGGGTTGGGGGAACAAATAGGAAAAATTCATGATAGAAAGAGGAAAATCCTCAGAGAGGAAACTACATCTCATGTCGCTCATATAATTACCATCAGATCATTTTGTCCGCTTGCTCCTTGTCAAAGCAGGAAAACACTCGTTACACACGTGTCTCTGTTCAATATTAAACCATCCTTGATCCTTTAGCAGCATTGCAGCCAAAATCCTGCCCAGTAAATATCCTTGGAATCTTAATGAAAGGAGGAAGGTTGTGAAGGGATCCAAGCTAAATCCAGAAAAGGATTTGAGGTCTATGTATAGTCTTTGGAAATATTCCTAGTTTTAAGTCTTAAGAGAATCAATATGTATGTGTATGTTCTGCTCTTAGACCAGCTCTTCTCTCACCTGTGCTGCGGCTTTTTCCATAATTTCAGATTTTTATCATAGATTTAATTTCATCTTATTATCTCTTTCAGGTTGTTTCCAGAACGCGCCTTGGGAGTTCTGAAAAAAATGAATTCTATTAAGTTTGATGCAGTTGTTAGAAACAAACAGTGAGAATGGAATTGGTTCTCCTTTTACAATTTCATTAGTGAAAATAGAATAAGTGCTGATTCTAGTTCAGTTATTTTGATTTAGAGCAAAATGTAAGACAAATACTTCCCAGCTGCCATCTTCTAGCACACCTAAAGCTATAGCCAGTATCTGCAGCAGGAACAGACCCGTATAATATGCCATGTTAACAAAGCAGAGATGCAGCTCAAAAGGTGAAAAGCACAGTTTTGGCTGTACTTAATATTGCCTTTCTCTCCAAGCACTGAGACAGATTAGAAATTCCCGCAAACTTCATTTTTGTCAGCATGGCTGTCCACATGAGTGCGAGGGGATTGCCTGACGCCATGTTAATCAGGACTCGTCAGTGAGCAAAACCATGCTAAATTTATCATTTTATTTGTCATTTATCACCTAAATTTATCATTTTAAGTTTCCAAAGGTTCTAATTCACACTCACAATGTCATGTGCTTTCATAGTGAGTACCTGAAGTAACGTAGCCTTTGAATCAGATGTTATGAAATTACATTAATTATCAATTATGCATTACCACAGTTGGCATGACTTATGCAGAATAAATAGATTTCTTTAATTTGATGGTTTCTCTTATCAGTTAAACTCATAATCATGTTCCAGAGGTATAATTCAGTGTAGTTCTAGGTATACCAAATGGTGTGATGTCAGGTAATACACCTTTTCCTTGTATCAGCATCAGTCTCCCAGGAGCTCCCATTAAGGACAGTAGAGGATGCAACTGAAAATAGCTCAAGAGAAGGGCAACTAAAGTATTTTTTTTTGTCCCCCATCATCTCCACCCAATCCAGAAGACTACTTTTTCAAAATGAAGAGAATCAATTCAGTTCAAAAAAAATTGGGGAGGGAGGGTGCACCGGCGTGCATGCACACACGCATGCGCGCGCGCGCGCGCACACACACACACACACACACACACACACGCACATGCACTTACTCTAATTTATGCAACCCTGAGCTGAAACTGAAACTAGAAAAAAAAGTTTGGAGCTTTGCCAGACAGAAGCCATTGCAACTTGGATCCTTGCAATTGAGATAAGTCTGCTACTAGGAGTGTGGAGCTGTGGCTTTGCTGTAAGATTCAGCAGGCTATGTATTTCAACAATAAATAAAATGCAGATGCTGTGATTGATTGGTGATAAAAAGCTGTAGATATTCACTTAACAGCTGCAGCCGTTTAAGCTTTCTCCCATTTATTGAGCCTTGAGAGCAGAAAGTAGACACCAGAGGGAGGCAGGAAAATGAGTAAATACTGTTTTTTTTTTTCCCGTAGAAAAAAAGCCGGTTAAAACATAGATGAAAATGTTAGCAGATCATGTTATGGTTATAGGCAGTAGGAAGATGGCTGGGTGGTCAGAAGATCTATCCAAAACTTTCTTTTCTGGTAATTCATCAGAAACTGTTCAGCTATAGAACTGCATTTTTACTACAATTTTTGAAGTATCCTATGAGTTGATTTCAGGTGATCTCAAACACTAACTTCACTTAAATTTAGCTATGTTTTATTGGAACAATTTATCAAATTACTTGTCTATAATTCCCAGAAATCTTTAAAACACCTTCCTGTGAAATCAGTGTAGTATTCCTCTACAAATCACTGGGTGTCTTACCTCATTTCATACATGCTATAAAATTGGATTATTCTATAAGAGCGCAGAAACAAAGAGTAGGAATGTTATTGTTCTTATATTACAATGCAAATAATCCAACCTAATATAAATCTGTAATTTATCTGCTAAACTGCTCACAAGGCAAACTCGTGTATTAAAGGAAATGGCAAGGATATACTTAGACTGGAAGGCCTTCACGCACATCCAGTGGGTGTGTTTGCTGGGGGGGGACCTTTTCAGTATTACAGAAATTGGCAGCTAAAAGAACCAACATAATCCTTTTTAGAGAAGGGAAATAATCCCACTGAAGTTCCTAGGGCTTCTACGTCTGTACAGCATACACCAGAATGAAAGTATTCTACTCTGAAAAGCTGGTCCCATTCATTTGTACCTGGTTGGAGAACAAGACAGAAAGAAACAAGATCATCTTCAAGATGCCTTACCAATAACATTCTTGTAGTATTCTGGTCTTTACCTTCCCATACCTGCTCTTCCCCTTCCAGGTGCCAGGGAGCAGCAGGACTGGGGATGCGCTGCCCAAGAAGGCAAGCCAGGAGCTGAGGGTTACGGCAAGGCAGGCATCTCACCGACAGGGCACTGCCCCACGGTTCCCAAACAAGGAGAACAGAGCAGGTCTTGTGATGGTAACCAGGGTCAGCCAGTCTACCGATCACCAGACCAGTCCACAGTGACAAGGCTGGTCCAAGGTCAAGCCAGGACGTTACATCAGCAAGGCACGGACCTGATCAGCCAGGTACAAGGCTAGTCACGGGCATGTCTACAGCACAGCCCAGGCACAGGTAAGGGCTGGAGCTAAATGCAGGTCCCAGGCCAGTGGGCAGAGGGTGCATGGGTGAACGTCCCTGAGGAAACTCTTTCTCACCACCTAACTGTCCTGAGCTACCTGCTATAACAGGACCTGCTCTGAGCAGGAGGTTAAACCCCGCAAAGGTCCCTTCCAGCCTACACAGTTCTGATTCAGTTTTCCCAGCAGGCTGATCCCAGGTTACAGCTGCACCGTATCAGCTGAACACTGGCAGCCAAACCTGGGGGAGTGGGGAGTGCTAGTCATGGCAATAACAGGCCACTGCAGGCTTGTTAGGGCAATTACAGCCTGTTGGCAAACTCAGGGCTCGCATACGGGGTGGATGGAAGAGCAAGTTGAGAGCCTATGGGTAAGGATTAAAGGGCAGGGTAACATGGGTGACACTGTTGTGGGGGTCTACTACAGGCCACCTGACCAGGAGGAAGTCATCGATGAGGCCTTCTACCGACAGCTGGAAGTAGCCTCACGATCACAGGCCCTGGTTCTCATGGGAGACTTCAACCACCCTGACATCTGTTGGGAAGACAGCACAGCTAGGCACAAACAGTCAAAGAGGTTCCTGCAGAGCACTGAGGATAATTTCTTGACCCAGGTGGTGGAGACGCCGACGAGGAGAGGTGCAATGCTAGACCTTGTGCTAACGAACAAAGAAGGTCTAGTTGGAGAGGTGAAGGTTGGGGGCAGCCTTGGCTGCAGTGACCGTG